TTACTACGCTCTCTTCTCATCTGTTTCCCGCCCGTCTCGTTGCAACAAATGTATGTACATAAGCACACGGCAGATGCCGCGCTGAATCCGAGACTGTTGACGGACTATGTTTCCAAGGTTCTGCACAGTCTGACATAACTCAATTGGAAAGCGCAAACACTTTGGGTGTAGAAGACTCGGGCATGTTCTGAAGGTCAAAGTTCACCCCAGGGCCAACTTTTGACCACTGGTAAGAAATCCAGCACTGGTTCATCGTGACCCTACAGGACAGAGTAGAGCCGTCTTCTAGGGTTTCCAAGACGGAACTCTTCGTGGGAGCAGGCTGGCTTGTCTTTGTCTGAGGAGCAGCCGGCGGGCTTGACAGGGCGGCCTTTCAGACGGAAGCTGGGCTCTTAGCCAAGGTGCCTGGGGGCTCGTTTGGCCCATGGGCACTCACTCGCCCACTCACACTCACTCACCCACTCGCTCGCTCACTCACACACTCACTCACTCACCCACTCGCTCGCTCGCTCACTCACACACTCACTCACTCACTCGCTCACTCACTCACCCACTCACACTCACACACTTGCTCGCTCGCTCGCTCGCTCACACACTCACTCACTACCATTGAGTTGATTCCAGCTCATGGAAATCCTACCGGACAGGGTGGAATGGCCCCTGTGGGTTTCTAAGATTAACTCCTTTCAGGACTAGAGCGCCTCATCTTTCTCTCTGGGAGCAGCTCGTTCTTTTGGAATCGCCCACTCTGTAGTTAATCGAGTCACTTTGCATAATAAAAAAAATAATGAGTACCTTGCTCGTCAAATTTCATCCAGGCAATGTCGTCCCCAACACACTCCACCTTCCACCCGGGGAGTGTGGGAGTCATCATGGCCAGGTTGGTCTTCCCACAGGCGCTGGGAAAGGCTGCGGCCAGGTACTTTTTCTCGCCCTCGGGGTTGGTGATGCCCAGGATCTGTGGAAGGGGCATTTCTTTCTCAGTAAGATCTTGGCTCGGTCCTCCCTGCGTGGCTGGGCCTTCTGTCTCAGAATGCGACTAGCCCAAAAACCAGTTGACGTGGAAGATCTTGGGCAGTCTGGCAGCCGGAGGGTGTGTGTGGAGCAGCTCTGCTTCTCTAGACTAGTGCCTGGCCCTCCAGAAGGCACATGCTGTGCCGGTCCCAGAGTGAGAGTCCTGGACTGTGGGGTCCGAGTGGACCCCAGCAGAGCCAGGGAGAGCCCCATCCTTCCCTCCATGCCCGTCCCTGCCTACCTCAGTGCTTGGGAAAGGGCAGGTCTGCTGTCCTAGTTCAATATTTGCTGTGTGCCTGGTGTGTCTGGTCTTTAGCCCACACTGCCGCAGCTCCGGGAACACAATGGGGTCAGGGGTCGGCTCATACGTGGGAGCCCAATAGAAGACGTCACTGTGGTGTTGGGATGGGGTCGCGTGGGGCCATCGGGAGGGCTGGCCTGCGCACAGGAGGCTCCAACTCCCAGAGTGACAGGCAAACTGTCTGTCTGTATAAATCCTCTCGGCCAGGCTTCCAGGGCCTGCGGGCCACACAGCCCTATCCAAGTTTGCTGGACGTCCACAAGACGGCCACCTCTGGCTGCCAGGGGCGTGACAACCCCGGGAGGGCTAGGACAAGACACGGGACACAGGATGTGCCTTTGAGCGACGGTGCCCTGCTGTGTCCCATCCCTCTTGGGGGTCCCAGGAACATGGTGGCCACGTGGCCTGGGCCCAGCACTGCCTTCTCCTCCTGTGGACATTCAGCTTGGACGTCAGAGCACGCGCTACAGCTGCTGGCCACTAGAGGCAGCAGCAGGGTGGAAAGCGGCTGGCATGAAGAAATTAGCGCAGGGAGGGCTGATACCATCTGAAGGCTTGGGATGTTGTCCTGTGCCGTGGAGCAGATTCCACGCAGAACCAGGCCTTTCTCCCTGGGAGGCGCTGGGTGGGTTTTACCCTCCCAGCCCCACGACCCAACCCTCCCTGGCACACTGGGAACCCTATGATAACAAATCTGCAGCGCTGGGTCCTGTAAGAACGCCCCACGGTGTTTCCCAGCCCCAGTGGCACTCCTGGCCTCCGTTTTACCACCTGTCAAATGGGGATGGTCTCATCTCACCTGCCCTTGGGGAGCCTGGTCAGGGGCACCGGGCCTTGACCTGCGAGGGCGGGGGGACCTGCGGTCACCTTGGGCAGTTTGCTCCCTTGGGTGTGGTGAAGGTTAAAGGTCAGAGCACCGCCTGGGCCCACAAAGGAGGGGCTGGCTGGAGGGCGGGGGCACTCATCTAGGGAAGAATGTGCAATACAGGCCCTGGGCTTATCTGGATGGTTCCGGAACACCCTGGAAACATGGGGAGCAGAGGAGACCCGGTACCCCGCTGGGGGACAGAGCATGCAGGCGCAGTGGTCCCGATCTCTGCTCCTACCTTCTGAAACACACTCCCCCCCCACCCCAGCAGGTGACACGTCGCTCAAAAGCATCCATCGTTGGCTGGGTCTGTGAGACTCCCCACAAGTGCATCCTGTGGTGGCAGCGCACCCAGACCCAGACTGTGCCCGGGACGGTCACCCTGCGCTAGGTACTGGAGTCCCCCTGGCCCCGCACGTGCCAACCTTTCTGCCCAGTGAGCACGGGGCTCAGGGGCGGACAGCTGCTGGCCAGGCTCCCTGACTCAGAAGACAGGTCTGGCCATTTACTTCTGAAACTCCCGTGGTCACACGGTCCGGTCCGATGGGAAACAGATGTTGGCGTGGGGTAGGGGTTGGTGTGGTGGTGGTGGTGGGGGGTGTTGAGTAGGTTTTTTTTTCTCTGTCTGTTGTGTGACCTGGAACAACCACACAATTGTGAGAGAGCTTTGATGGGTTCAGAAAACCCAAGTGGTCCCAGGTGACCTCTGTTCATTCCCACAACTCCTGCCTTTCAACTGCCTCCCGCCCCCCTGCCCACTGCCCAGCATTGGGACCCTAGACTTCCCCTCGCGTGGTTTGCTGTTGGGTTGTTGAGAAGGGGGTGGGAGACGAAAAACAAGAACAAGCTAAGTGTATCCGTCTTTTCTATAAAAGTTTATTTTGTCTTTTTTTTAAACAAGAAGTGGCCAAGTGGAGGGAGGGGGGCTTGCCATTATGCAGAGGTAAAGCAGAGTAGTGTACATAAATAATTTAAACACACGCATTAGTCATAAAGGGACACTTCATTTCTGACCACGATGAGTGGGTCATCTCTCCCAAGATTTTTCCAAAGGTATTAAGTAGGTTCCAGGTAACAGGACACACACACACACACACACACAATATATATATATATACCACACACACACACACACACACACACACACACACACACGCACACATATGTACAGCTCAAGTTTTGTGTTTGTGCATTTCAACAGGTGGAGATTGACACAGTGAAGGATCACACCCCTCTAAGGTGGCCCAGGGCCCTCAGGGTGAAGCAGAACGTGGATGGGCAACTACGGGGAGTGGACACACACCCAGACTTCCCCACCCCTGTCTCATTGGCTCCTAGCCTTGACTCTGTGGCTCTCATCTCAAAATTTAAAGTGTGCCTTTGGGGGTCTGCAGCCGTATCGCCTGGCTGATGAGGTCCGCTCCGGAAGAGCCCACTGTCTCCGGCTCCCAGGTGGATCTCCTGGGTCAGGAAGGGGACGGTTTGGGAGGTTTGAGCACTCTGCTCCCGGTCACATCTGGCTGACTCTCTCCTTCAGGGCCAGGACCTCTCTCTCGATCTCCTGGGGCAGGTCGGCATTGACCTGCTCCTCCAGGTACTTCTGGATCTCCTCCACCTCCTTCTCCCAGAACGCCTTGGAGATGCCGAACAGCTCCTTCAGGTTGACGTCTCCCAGGCCTTTCAGGTTCAAGGCGCCCTCTGCGGGGATGTAGCCGATGGCGGTGGCCTGGGCGACATCCTCCCCTTTGATGCGGTTGAACATCCACTCCAGGACCCTGGAGTTCTCCCCAAATCCTGGCCAGAGGAACCGGCCCTTCTGGTCTTTGCGGAACCAGTTGACGTGGAAGATCTTGGGCAGTCTGGCAGCCGGACGCTCCGCCATGCTGAGCCAGTGCGCCAGGTATTTGCCAAAGTTGTAGCCAAAGAAGGGCCTCATGGCAAAAGGGTCGTGCATGATGACCTTGCCTGTGAGAGAGGGGCGCCACAAGTGGTCAGGGGTGCCCTCCACGGACAAGACTGGCCCCATGCTCACGGGGCTAGGTCAGCATCCACCAGCGGGGGCACTCTCACACACACATGCGCACACAACCCCCTTCTTTGTCGTCTTGACCTTGACCTACCTTTGTGTTCAGCAGCTGCAGTGGCCTCTGACCTCATGGCTGCCCCCACAAACACCCCGTGGCGCCAGTTGAACGCTTCGTAGACCAGAGGGACACCTTGAGCAGGGAGAGACAGGGCGTTTCTAAAGGCTTTCTTTCACAGGAACCAGTGGGCTGGCAGTGTCCCCTCACAAAGGGATAGGGCACCACCCACCAGCACCTTTTTAATTCAGCGAAGGGCACAGGGCAGGCCATCACTAAGTAGAGACTACCTCCCCAAGGCCACACGGAGGTCATAAAGTCAGATGGGGTACTGAAGTGCAAGGGCTCAGGAAGGTTTGTGGGGGCCAGGAGGGTTGGGCTGGTGTTTGGGCTGGCCCACGGCCCTGGGTGTTTGGAAATGACACGCTTTGGCGGGATCTGACAAGGTCGCAGAGGCCCTGGGGCACCCAAAGTGCCCAGGAAGAGAGGCCTGGCCGTGGGCCGCTGAGCAAAGACCAGCCGTTGGCAGCCCCCCGGCACACACGGGGTCACGGTGAGTGCAGAGAGACCGGCAGTGAATGGTTTCAATGTTTGTGGGGAAGGAAGAGGGGTGGGGGGCCCAAGAGAAGGGGAGCCTCACCAGAAGGTCTGCGGCCCCCAAAGATGATGCCGGAGATGGGGACGCCTTCTGGGGCCTCCCAGGCAGGGTCGATGATAGGACACTGGCCAGCAGGGGTGCAGAATCGCGAGTTGGGGTGCGCACAGGGTTCCCCTACAGTACGAGAGAGCGAGAGGCTGTTGAGCACTGGGCTATGGAGCTGACCGGGGGCGCCGAGTCCTCTTGGGTGGGGGGGAGCTCACCGTCCTCCGGGCTCCACTTCTTGTTCTTCCAGGAGGTGAGGGTGATGCCAGGGGCCAGCGGCTCATCCAGGCCTTCCCAGTAGACGCCCCCGTCGCTGGTCTCGGCTACATTGGTGAAGATGGTGTTCTGTTGGATGGTCCGGATGGCATTGGGGTTCGTCTTCACAGACGTCCCCGGAGCGACGCCGAAAAAGCCATTTTCTGGGTTGATGGCCCTTAGGTTACCTGGAGACGGGTAGATCAAGGGGGCCACATGAGGAACAAGGAGAGTCAAGGCGGGTGCCGGCGGCGTTCTCAGCTCTGACTCTCCACCACCCTAGAATGTTCTCCAGTCTGTTTCCACCAACTCGTTGTATTGAACTGTGAGGCGTTTACTACGCTCTCTTCTCATCTGTTTCCCGCCCGTCTCGTTGCAACAAATGTATGTACATAAGCACACGGCAGATGCCGCGCTGAATCCGAGACTGTTGACGGACTATGTTTCCAAGGTTCTGCACAGTCTGACATAACTCAATTGGAAAGCGCAAACACTTTGGGTGTAGAAGACTCGGGCATGTTCTGAAGGTCAAAGTTCACCCCAGGGCCAACTTTTGACCACTGGTAAGAAATCCAGCACTGGTTCATCGTGACCCTACAGGACAGAGTAGAGCCGTCTTCTAGGGTTTCCAAGACGGAACTCTTCGTGGGAGCAGGCTGGCTTGTCTTTGTCTGAGGAGCAGCCGGCGGGCTTGACAGGGCGGCCTTTCAGACGGAAGCTGGGCTCTTAGCCAAGGTGCCTGGGGGCTCGTTTGGCCCATGGGCACTCACTCGCCCACTCACACTCACTCACCCACTCGCTCGCTCACTCACACACTCACTCACTCACCCACTCGCTCGCTCGCTCACTCACACACTCACTCACTCACTCGCTCACTCACTCACCCACTCACACTCACACACTTGCTCGCTCGCTCGCTCGCTCACACACTCACTCACTACCATTGAGTTGATTCCAGCTCATGGAAATCCTACCGGACAGGGTGGAATGGCCCCTGTGGGTTTCTAAGATTAACTCCTTTCAGGACTAGAGCGCCTCATCTTTCTCTCTGGGAGCAGCTCGTTCTTTTGGAATCGCCCACTCTGTAGTTAATCGAGTCACTTTGCATAATAAAAAAAATAATGAGTACCTTGCTCGTCAAATTTCATCCAGGCAATGTCGTCCCCAACACACTCCACCTTCCACCCGGGGAGTGTGGGAGTCATCATGGCCAGGTTGGTCTTCCCACAGGCGCTGGGAAAGGCTGCGGCCAGGTACTTTTTCTCGCCCTCGGGGTTGGTGATGCCCAGGATCTGTGGAAGGGGCATTTCTTTCTCAGTAAGATCTTGGCTCGGTCCTCCCTGCGTGGCTGGGCCTTCTGTCTCAGAATGCGACTAGCCCAAATCCAAACCATCAAGTTCATTTCCACTTGACCCGGAAGCCCTCTAAAGGTAAGTTTTCCAGGCTGTCTTTTTTTTTTTAATGTTTTAAACTGCATGGCATATTGTGGACCTTTCCCCGTATCTATAGATATGGGTCTCCTTCTTTCTCGTGGACTGCGTAGTAGTCCATGTATGAGTGGATTTTTCATTCGGTCATTAATCAAAGTCTCCCACTGGTGAACAAAGAAAGGAGGACAGAAAGGGTGTCCTTCACCGGTGTCAGTACCACATCATATTGACTAGGGTGTGCCTTCCAGAGGGGCTCTATTAGTCCCATTGTTTGGGGGGCCCTCCAAGAGCGGCGTGTACAAGTAGATTGACATGGATGGAATTTTCCAATCTTTCCTTGAACCTGCACACGGGGCGGTGGAGGGGGCACGGTGGGAGCCGCGTGGGCGTGGGCCGGGTTCCCTGTGCCCTTACCAGCATGTGCTCTGCCAGCCAGCCTTCCTCCTTGGCCAGGCGGCTGGCCATCCTCAGAGCAAAGCATTTCTTCCCTAGGAGCGAGTTCCCACCATAGCCACTGCCGAAGGAGATGATCTCTCTACGGTCAGGCAGGTGGGCGATGAGCGTCAGCTCTGGGTTGCAGGCCCAGTTGTTGACTAACGGCCCTGGAAGGAGGACATAGCCCCATCAACGTGACATGTCCCCACGCCGGTCTCCCGGAGGGCCACCCTGCAGGGTCCCTTTAACGTTGGGTTTTTGACACCGCTTGCTTACTTTTCAGTGGCAGGGGGCAGCCGACAGAGTGAAGGCACTTCACGAACTCCCCACTGCCCAGCGCCTCCAGGACCGGGGTGCCCATGCGGGTCATGATCCGCATGCTGGCCACCACGTAGGGCGAGTCTGACAGCTCGATGCCGATCTTGGACAGAGGCGAGCCCAGCGGCCCCATGCTGAAGGGGATGACGTACATGGTGCGACCTGGGGGCCGGGACAGTGGGGCCTGGTAAGATGGGGTGGGGGGGCTCTGCTTACAACATCCCGCCCTGTCTATCGCCATCCCCCGAATACAGACGAGTCCACTGGAAAGGGGGCAGCATCCAGAAGTTAAAGAGTTTCAAGACAGGAACAACAGGCCCCACCAAGCCCTTCTGAGGCCATGCGCTCCACGTTCACAGAAGACCCCGGGCAGAGCAGAGCAGAGGCGTGCCTTTGAACATGATGCCGATTTCGCATGTGGAACGTAAAGAGACCCAAGCAACGAGTGTCCCCACCACTGTTTAGCGTGACCAGAGACCAGTGGCCCTCGGTTAACCCTGACTCACGTCGAGCCCCTGGAAGTCAGAGAAGAACTGTGCTCCCTGGCATTACCAGTAGCTGGTGTCTTGGAAAGAGACAACCAGAGGACCATTGAGAATAGTAAAGGTAAGGTGCCCACTCACCTTTCATGCACCCTGGGAACCTGGAGTTGAAGGCTTTCTCAAAGGCCTCCTCGGACATCCAGCGGCCCAGTTGGCTCAGGCCAGTCGTGGGGATGGGCACCGTGTCCCTTTGCTCTCGGGTGATGATGACGGTCTTGCTTTCTATTCGGGCCACGTCCCTGGGGTCAGTGAGAGCCAGCCAGCTGCAAACACCAAAACAAAAAGCACCTGGGTTAGGAACAGAGGGGGAAAGGCTGCCCATCCAGGTTGCACCTGGACCCGGGACCCCAGCCACTGAGCATCCGTTAGGAAGGGGCCAGCCCTGGGCCTGCTTTTCTTTGTAGCACTGAAGACGCCCAGGAGACCAGCCAGGACACAGGCCAGGGGCCACTGACTAGACTAGGAGCTAGACTGGGAGGACAAAGACTGCCTTCCTGTCAACGCGATGATCGGCCATCCGCCCAGCTGGCAAAGAGCTTCTGCTTTACCTCATCGTGACTGCTTTGGATTCCCACATCCCAGACCAGGCTGGCTTCACTCAATAATCAGGGCGCTGTCTTCCGGAGAGAAGACACATCGGGAACTTTGGGTGAAGGCTCTTTTAGTTTGTTGCTAACAGTTTTCCTGTACCTGCCGTCTCGTGCCAGGCTGGGGCTGCTCTGCAGAGGCCCGGAGAAGTCACGTTCACACGAGGCTGCCCATGGCAGGAAGTCCCCCCAAGAGTCCACCGCCCCCTACATCTCAGGTCTTCAGTCAACTCTCGCCCAGCCCGCGGGGCTGGATGGAGGGGATGGCTGGGCAGGCCCTGCGGGCAGCGGAGGTCCACTCACCAGTTGTCATACTTCTTGAGCCTCTTGATGATGCCCTGCTCCTCCATGCTGTCCAGAAGGCGCCGGTTCTCCTGCTCAGACCCATCGCAGATGTGGATGTGCTCCGGCTGACACAGAGTGACGCTGTCCTCCACAAACGCCCTCACTGCCGGGGGCAGGCTGTCCAGGGTGCCGTGGATGACTCTGGCCGAGACGTCCAGGCCGTTTTGAAGCTGAGGAGGCATTTCTGCAGAGTGGTGCTGGCGGGCTGGGTGGTCCAGATCTCCTGGAACAGAAAACACTGGTTCCTCAACAGGACAACGGTGGGCTTGCCCACTGCTCTCACCTGACAGGCCTCCGTCAGGTCCCCGGAGGAGGAAGAGGGGTAAAACGAAAATGAAAAGGTTCAACTTACTTTTCTTCCCTTGGGACAATCCCAAGTCCCTTCCAGGCTCTTCCCGTGGTCAGTGTACGTTCCCACGGGGAGGTGTGTCTGGGAGCAGGTTCTCTGGGCCTTAAATACCATCAGAGCAGGCAGGCCCTGCCCCTAGGCGGTGGCCAGGGAGGCTCGCCTCCGACGTCAGGGGGCCGATCTTTGGAGCCCAGCCATGGTGAATTATGTTTCGATCCGCTGATCATAACAAACCCAGGGAGATAATCATTGGACAGGTCAAGAATGCTGGTGACCTCTGGACCCTGGACTGGCCAACGTAGGAAGTCCTTACACAACTTCAGATTGACTAAACTTTGACCTAGTGCATCGCTGATGCAAAGCACAGTGCCCTTTCCCCCTGGGCCTGGGAGGCAAGTGGGGTCCAGGGCGCGAGGCTGGCCCAGCCCCTCCCAGGCTCCCTGGGCCACTGGCCATACACTGTGTGCTGACGACAGCTGCTGGTTGGCAAAACACCTCCAGGGCAGGCGAGGTGTCACCCACAGCCAGAGGCTCACACAGAGGCAGCTCCCTTCCGAGCACAGGGCAGCACAGGGTGCTAGGCAAAGGCTGCAGCACTGGGCCCCATGGACAACTACTCATTCCACAGAGGGTACCCCGAGCCCCCAAACACAAGCCCCATGAGCCCAGGGCATGGTGCCTTGTCACCTGTCACTGGACCCACACAGCTCTAGGCACAGAACAGCCCGGCCAGCAGGTGCTGGATGCAAGCTGTGCTTAAGTTGACTCATGAAACCCTTCCCATTGCCTGAGGTAGAGGCTACCGATGGGCCCGTGGACAGCTAAGGAAATGGAGGCAGGAGGAAACGGGACCACTCCCTGGCTGGTAGACGGCACCCAAGGGATTTGAACTCAGGCCAGCTGGGCTCTGAGTGCCCCCACCAGACTGGCCCTCATGAGCTGCCATTGGCACCTATCCAGCCCTGGAGCCAAGTGTTCTCTGGCGGTGCTCCTGGCGTGAACTAGAAGTTCCACGCCGCCCTGGCCAGTCCGAGGCTCTGGGGAAGGGCACGGGGTGGTTTTGCGAGGTTACACGTGAGCAGTGGGCCTTTGTCACAGTTGGGAAGAATCTGCTTCGTAAGCCGCCAGACCTTGGTCCGATTTAATGAGCTATGGCGCCCGCTGCTCACTGGAGTTGAGGGAGCACTGGGTGAGAAGTTGGGGGAGGATCTGGCCTGGGCACCCATTACGAGTCGGCTCTCTGGGTTCAGGGGTCTGCTATGAGGTCAGGTAGGGACCTGCCCTCCTTCCCCCGGGGGGTTGGGCCAGCTGAGAAACCCCATGGGCCAGTGCTGGTGCAACATGCTGCGGATGACAGAAAGGGAACCTGGTGGCACGCCGGGCTAAGGACAGGGACTCTAACCAGAAGGTGAGAGGTTCAAACCCACCAGCAGCTACTCAGGAGAAAGGGGCTGTCTGCGCCCTCCTGTGGAGGAGTTCTGCCCGAACCTAGGGGGTCTCCAGGCCTCGGAGTCGACTCCACAGCCCTGGGCTTGGGAATGGCAGGTAGCACCTCCGACCAGGAGTGGGGAGGGCTCTGCCGGGCTCACAGCACCTCCCAGTCTGGCGGCCTCCCACTCCGTGTCACTTCCCCAGACTGCTCCGACCACCTGTGGCTCCTTGGGAATACAGGAAGTGGCACCTATACTTGGTTTGGAATTCCTTCCCATGGGAAAAGCAAAACAACACAATCTAGCTGCTGTGGCGTGAACTCTGGCCCTGGGGGCCGGTGTGTCAGAGGATGGAGCTCCAGGGGGCCTCCTGTCCTTCCCAATCCCAATCCCAATCTTATCTTTTCCTTTCCCCTTCCTTCCTACATCCTATCTTAGCCTCTTTTATCCTACCCTAAACTTAATCTTAATCCTACCCTTCCTATCCTACCCTACTTATCCTATCTTACCTATCCTACCTTATCTTACCTATCTTATCTTACATATTTTACCCTATCTTATCTATCCTATCTTACATATCCTACCCTATCTTCCCTATCCTATCCTACATATCCTATCCTATCCTACCTATCCTACCCTACCCTACCTATCCTACCTATCCTAGCCTATCTTACCTATTCTAGCCTATCTTACCTATCCTATCTATTCTACCTTACCTATCCTAGCCTATCTTACCTATCCTATCCTACATATCCTAGCCTATATTACCTATCCTAGCCTATCTTACCTGTCCTACCCTATCTTACCTATCCTATCCTACATATCCTAGCCTATCTTACCTATCCTACCCTACCTGGCCTAGCCTATCTTACCTATCCTACCCTACCTATCCTATCTTACCTATCCTGTCCTACATATCCTATCCTATCTTACCTAGCCTAGCCTATATTACCTATCCTACCCTACCTATCCTATCCTATCTTACCTATCCTACCGTACCTATCCTATCCTACCTATTCTATCTTACTTATCCTATCCTACTTATCATATCCTATCTTACCTATCATATCTTACCTATTCTATCCTATCCTACCTATCATATCCAACCCTTTCTGTTCCTTTACTCTGTTTTGTGGGTGTGGCGGAGAATAGACCCTGCAATAAATGCATCAACTTCACACTTCCTGCCTGATCCAGACACCCAGACTGCATGAAGTCAGGCAGCCTTCTCACCCTCCTTTCCTGAGGTGCTCCCCTCCCCCCACATAAACTCACTGCCCTCTAAAACCAACCCCCCAAGCTCACTGCTGCTGAGTCCATTCAGACTCAGTGACCCCACAGGACAGGGTAGAACTGCTTCTGATGGTTCCCGGGACTGTCGTTCTTGACAGGAGTAGAAAGCCTCATCTTTCTCTCAAGGTACAACTGGTGGTTTCAAACTGTTGACCTTGCAGCTAGCAGCTCAAGCATCATCACTAAGCACCAGGGTTCCCGCTGCCCTCTCAGGTCTCGATCTAACCTCTCAGGTCGCTGTTGTCTATGTGATTCTGTAGAGACAGGCCTCACAGGACCAGTGTTCCAGACGAAGCTAGGCTCTGCTGGGGACGCTCGCCGAGTGGTCTTGGAAGACATCTGGTCAGAATGCTCCTTAGAGGTGAGGACAGCCAGACTTAGTCTCCTGCGCTTTGGAGGAGGACGTCGTGCTTGGTAAAGTCGAGGGGCAGTGACAAAGAGGCAGGCCCTGGGCGAGCTCGGGGGACACGGAGGCCGCCCCAGTAGGCTCCAAGAGAAACACCATTGTGAGGCTCGAACAGGACGGGAGGTGCTTTCTTCTGTGGCACGTTGGGTCATTATGATCGGAACCGATGGATGACACCTCAAGACAACGACCCTGTCTTGATTAGGGGCTGTAGTGGTGTAGCGGCCACACAATACAAGGACAGCTGTGCGAACCCACCGGCCACTCCAAAGGCGAGAGATGAGGCTGTCTACTCCCGTAAAGGTTTACAGTGGGACACCCACCGGGGCAGTTCCACCCCGTGCTACAGCGCCACTACGAGTCACCATCGAGTTGATGGCAGCCACTGTGGTGTGGGTGGCGGTATTGTCTTAAGAAGAAATCCCGGGGGGTTAAAGATGATCTCAGGGCAATAGTTTCAGGGGTTCATCCAGCTCCCCTGGCTCCGGGACTTCTGAATCCATGAGAATTTGAAATTCAGTTTTGCATTTCCCCCTTTATGGTTAGGATTCTGCTGTAGCTCTGTGATCAAAGGGGCTAGGGCTGGTGGTGGGCCGTCATTCAGTGTCCACTGGCTTTCAAAGGTGGGGTTACATTAACCAGGCCTTTCTTCCAAGGCCCCTCTGCATGTGAACTGCCCACCTTTCATCTGGCCACTGGGCATCACCCGGGAGTCCACTGCCCATTTGGGTCTTCAGGGTTCCTCATCAGTGGGGCCATTAGCCAGTATGTAAGCTTGGGTTTCCTCCAAATCCAACCATGGAGTAAAGGCCACCTGCCAAGGGCCACTTTCTTGACCACGGACACCAGTGAACTCAGTCATTCCGAGAACCAGGAAGATGCCGTACACCCACTCCCACCTGTCGATTCAGCACTTCACACTGGCGTGACCGCATTTTGCTGATAACAAATTAGCATGTTGGTTCCCGAGAAGAGACTCTGTCAGGTGGGAGGCCAGAACTTATCTGAAACCCGGAATGTTATCCATCAAGCCAAGGTGTTTATGTGCCAGGTCTCCAGGGAATGTTCAGGGGAAACAGAAGCCACATAAGAGTCCCCTTGGCCAGATGGCCAGCCAGCCACCAGGCGGCCTATCCCCTTGGCACAGGCATGCGGTGTCCTCCGAAGCAACTGCCCACTGCTGCAAACTGACCACAAAGCACAGAGCTTCCTGGGGGGAACACACCACAGTGGTGAGCCAGGGAGAGGATGACGCAGGCAGCAGCTCAGGATGGCCCTGGGCCCCGCTTTCCATGTCCAGGAGCCCCAGGGGCTCACTGAGGAGCGTTCAGCTAGGTCTGGGCCGAGCAGGGCATGCATCTTCCCCACGGGCCATCTGGTGGCAGGGTGGAAGCAAGCTGTTGAGATCGAGCATCCACCGTATGTGTCCACTCCGGGAACTGAAACTCCAAGCTGCCTCCAGCAGGGGAAGCCCCCGGGGCCCAGCCGACCCCATGGGCTTGCTGGGTGTGCACAGGGTGGCGGGCCAGGGGGTGCAGCATCAGAACACGGCCAGCTGTCTCCGTCATCCCAGTGACCACCTTGTTTTCAGGAGCTCCTGGAGCGTGTGTCTTCTAAGCACAGAGACAGCTCTCCTTTCCCAACAGCGTTCACTCTCACACCGTCTGGAGAAGGAAGGAGAGGGCCGGAAAGCAGCAGTTCACACCTCAAGGCCACTCCTTCCGGAGGTGCCTGCGCGCACTTGGATAGCTGTTGAGCAGATGACCCCTCTCCCCGCTCCAATGCCTGACCAGGAGGAGGCCTGGTGGTGGAGTGGGTTCAGCACTGGGCTGGGAACCACAAGTCAGCGGTTTGAAACCACCAGCGGCTCCAAGGGGAGAAAGACGAGGCTTCCTCGTTCTGTAAAGAGTTAAGGTCTCGAAACCCACAGGGGCGGCTCTACCCCACCCCATCGTGTCGCCT